CTCAGTGTTGGTGACGCATGCCTTTAATCCCAGCACTTGGGAGGCAGAGGCAGGCAGATCTCTTTGAGTTCAAGGCCAGCCTGGTCTACAGAGGGAGTTCCAGGACAGCCTCCAAAACATTACAGAGAAACCCTATCTCGGAAAACAAAACAAAAAAAATAGGTCTGTGCTGAATTAATATTTTATTTTCAGTATTTCTAGAAAACAGTTAACTGTGGTTTGGCCTCTCCCAAAGGTCCCCCCAGTGTGGCACTGTTGGGAGGTGGTGTAACCTATGGAAGATGGGGTCTTGTGGGATTCTTTAGGTCATTTGGGATATGGGAAGATAATCTGGGGGACCCCAGCTCCTTTACCAACCCTTTATTTGTTTGTTTGTTTATTTACTTGATGAGACAGGATTTCTCTCCATAGATCAGGCTGGTCTAGAATTTGGTAGGTAACTCAGACTAGCTTCAAACTTGCTGCCCTCTCTCAGTCTTAATATTTCTGGGATAACAGGTGTGTGCTGTCTTGCCCTGCTGCTATGAACTATTTTTAGTGTTGTGTTGATTCTAGGCTCTGGTCTTCCCCAGAAGCTCTACATGTTTTCTGTGTTAGAAACACATGGACTCTGAATATCACTTCCATGGTAACTCTGCCTTAACAGAGTTCCCCAATTCTGAATCAGTCTTAATTTAGATCCTTGGCTCTGGATTTTCCTTTTAATGAGAATGATATAAGCTTGGGACCTGCATCTGTCTTAAGTACAGACTTGAGTATCTGTCCTTTCCTTAGGGATTTTTAATACTCTCAGCCTGGAATGGACCAGTGTGTGGACACTTTTAGGTCAAGGGCACTCCTCCTCAGGTCCCATTGTGTACATGGCCTGTGGCTTAGACTTCCTTCCCCTGGTGAGTGAGGCAGCCTGATTCTGGACCTGATATGAGTTCTGGTCACTGACTGAATGTGACTCCCTTTCTATGTGTTCTGCGTGTTTCTGATACCTGGTGAGCCTTCCCCACTTTCCATCTAATTGTGAATTAAATCTTCTTAAATGTTTTACAGTGCTGGCACCACATAATTACTGAGTACCCATTTTTTGTTTGTTTGTTTGTTTGTTTTTCGAGACAGGGTTCTCTGTGGCTTTGGAGGCTGTCCTGGAACTCGCTCTTGTAGACCTGGCTGATCTTGAACTGAGTACCCATTTAAAAATTTTTGTTTTTAATTACTTTTTCCTACCAGTAGTGGTGATTGAACCTAGGGCCTTGCAAATTTGAGGCAAGTGTTATACTACTGATCTGTAGCTCAGCCAGTTTGTATTTTTAATGTTTGTTTGCTTGCTTGCTTTTTTAATAAAAATTTCTTAGATTTGTTTTATGTGTTTGTATTGCCTGCATGTATGTATGTGCCTCACATAGCATACCTGGTGCCTACAGACGTCAGGAGAGGGTGTTGGATTCCATGGAACTGTAGTTACAGGGCGGTGAGCCACCGTGTGGGTGCTGGGAATTAAAACTTGACTGTCTTGTAAGATAGCCAGAAAAGCTTCTTTGGAAATAAAAAAGTTATAAAAGACTGGAGAGACAGCTCAGTCAATAAAGCTTATGAAGACCCCAGTTTGTTCCCCAGCACCCATGTAAAAGCTGAGTGAGGAGGTGCTGGTCAAGCAGAATAGGTGAGCTTAGAGAGACTCCTGTCTCAAAGAAAGTTGAAGAATGACTGAGGAAAACACCCATGTTGGCCCGTGTCCCAACTCATGAGCATATACACACAGCTCTACATAACCCCCAAAAGGTCATAAAAACAATGCTCATTTAGTGAGAATCCCTGAGCCATAGGGCAAAGGTTTGCTCTGTCTTTGGGCATTTAAACTGTCAGAGTCCACAGATGGCTAGCTCAACACAATGGAGTACTATTCAGCAGAAAAAAGCAATGGAATCCTGAGATTCGCAGGCAAATGGATGACACTAGAAGAAATCATCTTGAGTGAGGTAACGCAGTCACAAAAAGAGAAACATGGCATGTACTCTCTCATATATGGATTTTAGACATAGATCTGGGGAGTGCCATCCTACAATCCCATGGCCAGAAAGTCTGGGAAACAGAAATTTCATTCAGTGGCTGATGGAAGAAGAGGCACACTCCCATGGCTAAGCACTGAGCTGAACTCAAGAAAGCCAGTAACAGAGAGGGAGGACTGATGACCAAAGGGATTAAGACTGGGCTGGTTTAACCCCCAGAAACAGCTGACCTGACAAAGGTTAACTCTTGAATCCCAGGCATCAGCCTGGGAATCCAGCATGAGTCTAATCAAGACCCCCTGAATGTGGGTGTCAGTGAGGAGGCCTAGGTAATCTATTGAGCCTTGGGCAGTAGATCAGTACCCATCCCAAGTATACACACGGACTTTGGACTCCCATCCAACAATGTGAGATGCACTCTCACCCTGAACTCTTGGGGAAGGGTCTAGGCCCTGCCCTGAATGAAATGACTATGGACACCCCCATGGAGGGCCTCACCCTCCCTGGGGAAATGAGGGGATAATGGGGGGGTTGGGGGGAGGGCACGGGAGGAGGGGAGGGAAAGGGAGAAGGACCTGGAACTGACTTGTGAAGCAACCTTGTTTCTAATCTAAATTTAAACTTAAAAATAAATAATAAAAAATTGTTTTCCTAATCATTAACCATAAACCATAGTCTATACGACTCCTTCAAGGAAACCCATAAGTCCTAGCTGCATGACACTTCCTTGTTCTTATTTTTTATCCTCTACAACCCCTGCCTTATTAGGGACAGAAGCAACACTTTAAACAGTACAACTTAAGAGGAAGTCATCTTTATAGTAATCCATAGGTAATAATGCCCAGTAGAATAGGGTATTTCCATGAGATAAACACACTACATCTAAGGCAGTGGGGATTCCCCACACACACCCATTCACACTGTACCAGATACCAGAGGAAAATGGCAGTGGCAAACCTGTAAAGGCACAGCAGTAGCAAGAGACATTCTGGAGCCAAAGCCCTTGGGGCCTTGCCTATTGGAGATTCACCCTTCAGTGCTTTGCATTCCCGTGGGGTGGGCCACTCTCCTGAAGTCAGGTGCCATGCCATTGGCATGTCCGGTGAAAACCCCCATAAAGCAATGGGAAGGACTGCTGGTGCTTGCCTTGTTTACTTACATTACGTTGCCTGCTGTGTGGTCACATCAGTTTGAAACTTCCTTGTGAACATCTTGAGTGTCTAAGGGCCACCTGATTCTTCTTCTTTTATCAGCCTCTTTTCTTTTATACTTAAGCTTTGCTTAACTAAATCAGTTCCTTATGGAGAACTCCTGAGACTTCTGGAGCTAACAGAAATGGGTTTACTTGAGCCCTGGCTCCTCCACTCCATCTATTACCCACACCCGAAAGAATAATGCAGTTTTCCTGCCAACCAACTTAGATTGAGCCTTTAAAAATTATTTAAGACTCATTTAAGTACTTGTTTGTGTGTGTGCACACGGATATGTACACATGTTTGCACCTGGAGTCAGATTCCCTTAGAGATGGAGTTACAGGAACTGGACAGCCTCCTAACATGGTTACTGGGGGCAGAACTCAAGTCTTCTGCAAGAGCAGTAAGCACTCTTCACCACTGAGCTGTCTCTCAGGCCTCTTTCTTTTCTACATGATGCTGGGGATCAAACCTTCATCCTTACACATCATAGAGCAAGTACTCCCCACCCCCGACAGTTTATCTGAGTAGCCCTGGCTGTCCTGGAACTCACTTTATAGACCAAGCTAGCCTTGAACTCAGAGATCTGCCTGCCTCTGCCTGTTGGGATTAAAGGCCTGTATAGCCACTGCTGGCTTGTGTTCTACCATTTTTAAAATAATCAAATTTCAGTTGTGTGTGTGTGTGTCTGTCTGTCTGTCTGTCTGTCTGTCTGTCTGTCTATGGAGACCAGAAGAAGATATTGGATTCCCTAGAGCTGTTACAGGTGGTTGTGAGTCACTTAATGTGGTGCTGGGAATTAAACTCTAGTCCTGTACCAGGGTACCAAACACTCCTAACCACTGCGCTATCTCTAACCACTGCGCTGTCTCTCTACACTTGTGCTCTCCCATTTTTTTAGAGACAATTTCTAATCCTCCTTTCTCTGCCTCCCAAATGCTTGGGTTATAGGTATATGCCAGCACCCTTTTTTTCTTTTCCTTCTTCAGTGCTGGAAGTTGAACTTAGGACTTGAATATGTTGGGCAAACTATCTACCACTGAGCTATAATGTAGTCCATAAGATTTTTAAAATTAAGTTCATTCAATTTGTGTATGTGTGTGTGTGTGTGGGGTTACACAGACAGAGACAGAGAGGGAGGACTTTTGGAAGTCAGTTCTCTTTTCACTATGTAGGTCCACGGAGTTGAACTCAGGTCATCAGTCTTGCCGGCAAATGCCTTTACCTGCTGAGCCTTTACTCTGATTCCATTTTGTGTCATTAAGAGACTCCTGGGCAGTTGTCAGAGCACATGTGAATTTGTGGAAGCAAGGATGGAAATAGAAATGGAATAGCAAAGTAGAAAGATGAGCCAACTGTGGTGGTACACGCTTATAATTTCAGCATTTAAAGGTAGAGGTAGCAGGATCTGGATTCCAAGCTCATTCCTAGTTACATAGTAAGTCCATGGTCAGCCTGGGCTACATGAGACCCTGACTCAAAGTATAAAAATGGGCCGGGCATTGGTGGTGCATGCCTTTAATCCCAGCACTCGGGAGGCAGAGGCAGGTGGATTTCTGTGAGTTTGAGGCCAGCCTGGTCTACAGCGCGAGTTCCAGGACAGCCTCCAGAACAATACAGAGAAACCCTGTCTCGAAAAACCAAAAAAAAAAGTATAAAAATGGAAAAATCAAAATACCGTTTTGTGTCAAATTTTGTATCAATTGTTTTAGTTTTGGAATACAGAGATTTGAACTTCAGGGGAAAATTTGTTTACACTTAAGTTCATATTTTATATATAAATATATTTTTGACATTTGTTTTGCAGGTTGTGGGATTAGTGAAATGCTTTCTTAAGCAGTAAAAGGTTGAAGATGTCTAGACAGAATTTAGTGGCTTTGACAGTGACCACCCTCCTGGGTGTGGCCATGGGAGGATTTGTCCTGTGGAAAGGCATCCAGCGAAGATGGAGTAAGACAAGCAGAGTGGTACAGCAGCAACAGCAGCAGCAACAGCAGCAGCAGCAACAACAGCAGCAGCAGCAGCAGCAGCAGCAGGTGCCTGGTATGAGGGAGTGGCCCCCTCCAGAAGATGCCCAGCTACCCTTTGGTGCACTGAGAGCACCTAGAGCCTTGTGGGAGGAGAGGATACTCCAGGCAGAGGTGGTGACAGTATCTCAGGAGGCAGACTGGAATCAAATTCAGCCCTTCTTTAGAAGAGAGTTGGAAGATTTTCCAGTACTTGGAATCGACTGTGAATGGGTAAGTGAAAAGGCAGTAACTGAAAAAGAATCTCATTAGTTTCCCCAACTGGGGACATGGGTGGTCAAGAATAGAATTGCCGAAAGGAGATTTACTTTGTTCTTGACTTGCTTGTAAGTACACTTTAGCAGATGATGCGGATGTCCTCAGGATAGGGGTGACCTTAGATTTGTTATTCTGGAGTCTGGTGGGCCTGCATGAGTTTTACTTTTGCTGATTATTCTCTAAACTGGACAAGATAATTAGCTTCTCCAAGTCTGTTTACTTATTTGTGATAGGAGTATAAGGGCACCTACTTCCAGTGATTTGTAGATAATCCCTATAAAGGCTTCAATACAGTTCTAATATACAGCAAGTGTGCATCAAATACCAGCTACTTTAGTTGTGGTGGTGCACACCTGTAATTTCAGCACCCTGGGAAGCTGAGGCAAGGGAATCACAGCAAGTTTGAAGCTATCCTGGACTACATTGTGAATTTGAGGCCATCCTAGGTTACAAAGCAAGACCCTGTCTTAAAACAAACAAATAAATAAAACCTACCACTACAACTACCTATTTTAGTTTTTGTTTTCAATTTGTTTTTTGAGACAGGTTCTAGGCTGGCCTTGAACTTGTTATATATCTGAGAATAACCTTGAGCTCTCCTACCTTTACCTCCTAAGTACTAGAATCAAAGGTGTGCACTACCCCACTGGTTTGTGAGTTTGAGACCAGCCTGGTCTACAAGAGCTAGTTCTAGGACAGTCTCCAAAGCCACAGAGAAACACTGTCTGGAAAAAGCAAAACAAATAAAAAAAACCAATTATTCATGGGTGTGTGCCCGCCCATGTGTGTGCTGCCATGTCCTCTGTATACTGTACTGTGGGCTGGGCAAGTGCTCTACCAACTAGTTCCTCAGACTGTTTTTGGTTCTTTTGAGGATTATTTTTCTTAAGTTTGTGTTTTTGTGGTGTGTGTGTGTGTGTGTGTGTGTGTGTGTGTGTGTGTGTGTGAATGCATGTGTGTCATGAGATACATATGGAAGTTAGAGGACAATTTTGGGATCATGGTCCTGGTCTAAAGGACTTAGAACCTTACAGTAGAAGACATACAGACCAAGTTCATATACATAGAAAATAACATGGCCAATACCTGTGGTATTTATCAAACACAGTGTCACAAGTACTGGGAGGAGGGGTATTTTATAGTTGACAACTGAGATTATAAAGAGAAAATAGTCAATATCACAAAAGAATTGCACTAAAATCTCCATGTGACTATCCCGCCTCTGCCTCTCATCTCTCTGTGGGAGTGCTGGGATTGCAGATGTGCACCAGTACACTGGCTTTTTACATGGGTTCTCATTGAGACTGAACTCAGGTTGTTAAGATTGTGTGTGTAGTTGGACTTTGTTGTCTGACTTTATTTGGACCACCAGCCCCCAAATAATGACATGGAGACTTACTATGAATTATGAAAACTTGGCCTTTAACTTAGACTTGTTCCCCACTAGCTCTTACAGCTTAAATTAACCTGTTTCTATTAATCTACACTCTGCCACATGGTTCTTTACCCCTCTTCCATTCTGTATGTTTGACTTCCTCTGTGTCTCGCTGGTGTCTCCCACGCGCCTAGTTTCTAACCCTGAGTTCCTCTCCCTTCCCAGAAGTCCTGCCTATTCTCTCCTGCCTGGTGATTGGCCATTCAGCTCTATTAAACCAATCAGAAGGTACCTTGTCAAAGACACACTTTGACTGTGTACAAGAAGATTATCCCACACTAGGGGTGTCCAGTGCTTTTACCTCTTGTGCCATCTCCGCAGCTCCTGTTAGCTGTTTCTTTGATTTTGTTTTGTTTTGTTTTTTTTTTGAAACTGGATTTCACTGTGTAGCCTGTACAAGCCCAAAACTCTAGATATTCCTGTCTCCACTTCTGAGTATTAGAAGTATATACTCCTCTATTCCTCTTTTTAAAAAGATACATGTTCATTATATTTTCTAAAATTTAATTTATTTACATAATTTTTAGGTATGAGTGCTGTGTCAGTATGCATGCCAAAGACAGCTTCAGATCCAGTTAGAGTTGGTTGTGAGCCACCATGTGGTTGCTGGGAATTGAATTCAGGACCTCTCAAAGAGCATTCAGTGCTCTTATTCTCTGAGCCTTCTCTCCAGCACTGAAATTTATATTATGATATGTGTGTGTGCAGGTGCCAGCAGCAGTCAGTAGAAAATGTTGGATCCTTTGGAGCTAGAGTTATAAGCAGTTGTGAGCAACCCCACTTGAGTGCTGGGAACACAACTTGGGTCTCTGCAGGAGCAGCAAGTGCTCTTAAATAATGACTCATACCTCCCATCCCTATTCCCAACTCTTAGAGTCATTCTTGCTTCTGTGTGTTGGTTGGCTCTTTTGAGACAGAATGTTGTGTATAGCCGTGGTTGACCTGGTACTTAATACATTGTTAAGGCTGGTCTGGAATGTGTAGCCGTACCCCTGCCTCAGCCTCCTGCGTATTGGGATGACAGTCACGAAACCACACCTAACCCCTATGCTAAATTTTTTGAAGTTATTTCAGGTACTCATTGATAATAAGATACCCATTGTTCTGAAAATATTTTTTCTTAGTCATGTAAAAAAAATTCCTCTGAGTGTAAAATTTTAGTTTTGTCATTTTCAAGACTGTATTCCATTGTCTTCTGGTTTCCATTGTTGCTGTTGAAGATAATCATCACAATATCATTGGTTCTTTGTAGGTAATCCAATTTTTTCCAAAACTCTGAAGATGTGCTAAGATGAGTCTAGATTCAGCTTGGGCTTAAGAAAGCTATTGTACATGATAACAGTGTTTTTATTATTTTAAAATTTTCTTTTAATATATTCATACTATTTATGTGTATGACTGACAGACAGACAGACAGGCAGGGAGGGCCAGAGGGAGGGAGGGAGGAAGGGAGACATACATACAGTTTTTCATTATGTAGCCCCAGTTGGCTTTGGAACTTGCTATGTAGATCAGGTTTTGTAGTCGGAGTTTTCCTATTCCACAGCCGCTCTCAAATAACACACTGAGGATTATATTAATTATAAAAGCTCGGTCAATAGCTCAGGCTTCTTACTATCTCTTACAACTTTAACACATTTCCATTAATCTATATTCTGCCACATGGCTTTTACCTCTAACCCATTTTGTGTGTTCTACTTGTTCTGTGTCTGGCTAATGACTCCTCTGACTCCACCCTTCTTCCAGCATCATTTTAACCTGATTTTTCCCACCTAACCTCCTTCTGCCCAGCTATAGGCCAGTGATTTCTTTATTAGCAAATGAGAGTAATACATATTCATAGTGTATAAAAAGATTGTTCTACAACCAGGCTGTCCTCACACTCCTAGAGATCCACTTGCCTATACCTCCCAAGTGCTGGGATCAAAGGTATATTTCATCACACACAGCACCAGCTTTCTTCTGAGGATATGTAAATAGCCCCTATTGGTAAAGCAGTATCTAAGAAGAAAGTCTAAGGTTTTGGTGAGTTAAATTGTGGCTGTGCTGAACAGTAAGGTAGAATTTAAGGGCAAAGACTCTTACATTTTGTTATTAGTAGCAATCTTTGTGGTGTTGACTATTTTCTCTTGGTAATCTTGATTGCCTCAAGAAATATTTCTTTTCCCAGTACTTGTGACACTGTGTTTGATAAATACTTTGCTTTTACCATGTCATTTTCTATGTGTGAGAGCTTGGTCTATATGTCTCTTTTTCCTGAAAGGTTCTAAGTCCTTTAGGCCATGCCAGCCATAACTGTAGGCAGTGTGTGAGCCTCACCCATAGTCAGAGCAGGCAGGGCTCCTCAGCCTCACTGCTGACATGACTGGCAGATGGTTCTGTGTTGTGAGTATTTGTTACAAGATGTGTACTGTTGGATGTCTTATGCTGTTGGATGCCCAGCAGCGTCTGCCTCCTACCTGACCAAACATTTCTTCAGACTTAAATTTCCCATCGGGGAAAAATCACTCTCTCTTCAGAACTACTGTTGTAGACACTAGGAAATTTGAATGGTAATGTCAGCTTTGCCACTATCCCATCATATTTGGTAAGCTGTTTCACCTATAGGCTGAAAGTTCCTTTTCCTGAAAATTGAGAAGGAACTTATTGGGTGTTTCATCTGTTTTGTGGATTGCTTTTAGAATCCTTAAACCCAGCTGAGCGGTGGTGGCACACACTTTTAGTCTCAGCATTCAGGAGGCAGAGGCAGATGGATCTCAATGAGTTCGAGGGCTACAAAGCAAGTTCCAGGACTGCCAGAACTTACACAGAGAAACCTTGTCTTGAAAAAATAAAAACAAACAAACAAACAAACAAACAAAAGACTCTTTAAGTCCTTGAAAATAGAAACGGATTTTATATGTTTTTCTGGGATAACATTCTTTCAGAATTTTTTCAAACTTACCTTTTGGGAGTCATACCCCAAAAGATTAAATGTTGATAATGTGTATAGATAATATGCATAGTTATTTTCTTCTTTTAAGATATACATTTCTTTTGATAAACTCCATTTGTGACTTTGTCCCACCAGGATCTGTTATTGCTGGCAGAGCTGTACTCTGCATGATTTGTTTTGTGTTTTTGAAAAAGGTTCCCAATATATAGCTTTGGCTGGCTTAGCTCAATATGCAGATCAGGCTGGCCTCAAACTCATAGATTATTACCTTATACCCTGTGCTGGGATTCAAAACAAATGCCCATGCCTAGCCTCTACTTCCTTTTGAAACTTGCCTCTTGAGGCAGTGCTGTTAAGCAAATAAGGGCAGTTTCTAGCATGTGCAATAGATCATTCAGGTATGGTACCATTTGGTGTTTCTGCTCGTAGCCTCTTTTTCTTAGCCTTTTAAACCCAGCATGACTGACTGCATGTGTCCCAGAGCTCCTGAGTCAGCTGGTCACTATTTCTGGACTGATCAGATTTCAGGGCCTGGAGTTGGCCCTGTGAAACTTAGTCAGACTGCTGCTTTCTAAGGCCTCACATCTGTTAGAACAGGTTCTCCTTGCATTTAACCTCAAACCCATTCTGCTGCTCCCTTTGAGAAGCCAAGGGTATATCTCTTAGATTGGATTTTTAGCCAGAGTTTACTTTTGTCATGCTACTGAGCAAGGATGTGAACTATGCTGTCTTGTTCTTTTACAGGTGAATTTGGAAGGCAAAGCCAGTCCTTTGTCACTTCTACAGATGGCTTCCCCGAGTGGCTTCTGTTCATTGATTCGCTTGCCCAGGCTGATCTATGGAGGCAGAACACTACCAAGAACGCTTTTGGACATACTGGCAGATGGCACCATCTTGAAAGTAGGAGTGGGATGCTCAGAAGATGCCAACAGGCTTCTACAGGATTATGGCCTCGTTGTCCGGGGCTGTCTGGACCTCCGCTACTTGGCCATGAAGCAAGGGTATGTTTGTATGCATGTAGCTATGGGGCAAACATTATACATTATACATTATACAGGGGATCAATAATGAAGCATTTAGAATTCCATAGACACCGAAAGGCTTTGAAAATGCATGTTGAACTTGTGAGGAGACATATCAATGTGTGAGAAAAGTTTGGTTGGCTAAATTTCTTTTTTGATCAACCTCTCATCACTTGTAAAGGAGAGGTTATGAACCAGTGGCCCACTGGCTAAGTTAGAGCTGTAGGGTTTGTTTATTTTTTTCCCATGTGAAATCACTTTTAAATCCAGAAGACTAAGTATAAGAATCTGTACTAGTGGTTTCTCTTCCAGAAATTAGGTGACCTGGCCTCAGAGTTCTGAGTTACAGATGGCAACAGTGGGCCAGGTTTGGGATTTCCTTTTTTGATTCCTGTATTCAATTTAACTTCCCAAGTCTTGACCACTCCTGTGGTAGACCTGACTTCTGGTCAGCATTTTAGTTTGCAAACCAGCCTTAGGCCCAAATAATGGTCAACCTTGTCTTGACTTGGAGAGGGAGGCTTTCCTTCTTAGCCTTTTCTTCTACAGAAACTCTGTTTCACTCCATCTTTCAGGGGTCATAATTTCTCAGGTACATGCACAGTCCTCATTTATCCATTATTTATTTATTTACTTGAATTTTATTTATTTATTTTTATGACTGTTTTGCCTGAGTATATGTTTGTATCTGTGGAAGCCAGAAGAGGACATCAGATTCCCTGAAACTGGAGTTACAGAGGGTTGTGAGCTACTATGTGGGAGCTAAGAACTGAGCCTGGGTCCTCTGCAAGAGCAGCAAATGCTCTTAACTGTTGAACCGTCTCTTCAGAAACCATAGTTGTCATTTATACTCTCTGGGCATTTGGAGACACTTAAATGAGTGTATGTAAATTGAAAGTGCAATCTGTTCTCTGAGGCTGAGGCAAGGAGGGTATGAGTATAAGGTCAGCCTGGGCTAGATCATGAGCATCTGTCTCAAAAATGCCCCAAAAGATAACTAGGCCAAAGATGAATATTATCGTGAAATGATAATATACAAGTTGTGGTTAGAAAGAAGAATGAAATTGTGGCCAGGTGGTGGTGCACACCCTTAATGCCAGCACTCTGGAGGCAGAGGCAGGCAGATCTCTGTGAGTTTGAGGCCAGCCTGGTCTACAGAGCGAGTTCCAGGACAGCCTCCAAAGCAATATAGAGAAAGCCTGTCTTTCCTCCAAAGCAATATAGAGAAAGCCTGTCTTGAAAAAAGCAAAACAAAAAAGAATGAAATTGTGTGTGTATGTATTTGGGTGCACATGCATGTGTGGAAGCCGGAGGTCACTGTGGAGGGTCTTCTTCAATTATTTTTTATTACATTTTGTGGTTGTTTGAGACAGGGTCTCATCATATAGCCATGACTGACCTAGAACTCAATATCTAGATCAGGCTGGCCTTGAACTTACAGAGACCTACATGGCTGTCTTTGCTTCCTGAGTACTGAGTTTAAAGGCTTGTACCATCACTGCCCAGTTTTCACTCTTTTTTGTTTTGTTTTGTTTTGTTTTTTTGAGACAAGGTTTCTCTGTGTAATAGCCCAAGCTGTCTTGGAACTAGCTTTGTAGACCAGGCTGGCCTCGAACTCACAGAGATTCGACTGCCTCTGCCTCCCGAGTGCGTGCACCACCACCACCCAGCATCACTTTCTTGTTTTGAGAGAGTCTCTCACTCAGTCTGGAACTCACAGATTTGACTAATCTGTCTGGTCAACAAGCCTCTGTCTCTGCCTCCTGGCATTGGGATTACAGGTGCATTCTGTCTGTCACACCTGACCTTTTTATATAGCTGGCTGGCTGGCTGGCTTCCTTTCTGCCTGCCTTCCTGCCTTCCTTTTATTTTTTTATTTTTTAAGACATTTCTGGGAAGATAGCTAAGTGGGTAAAAGTGCTTGCCTAAGTTTGAATCTCCAGAACCCACGTAAAGTCAGTGAAGTAGTGTATATGTAAATCCCAGAGGTCTGTATGCTGTGAGAGGTGGAGACAGGAGAATCCCAGGAAGCTCCTTGGTCAGCTAGCCTGGCATATCTAGTTGCGAACAGCAAAGAGAACCTGTCTCAAACAAGGAAGAAGAGAAGGACAGATATTCAGGGTTGCACCCACACATGTTCACCTGCAGTTACATGAATGTGCATACACATGTATGTATACACACACACACACACACAAAGACTTAAACATTTTAAATGGATTAATGAATAAGATTCCAAGTAGCCCTGCTGGGTCTGGAACTCCATGCAGCTAAGGAAGATCTTGAACTCCTGATCTTTTTGCCTCCACTTCCCAAGTCCTAGAATGATAAGACTGTACCACCATACTTGCTCTCTTCATGTTTTCTGTATATATGTGAATTTCATTCTATTTACTTAAAATTTTTTGTGTATGTGTGTGCATGTGTGTGTGTGTGTGTGAGAGAGAGAGAGAGAGACAGACAGACAGACAGACAGACAGACAGACAGACAGTCTCCCAAGGTACACATGTAGAGGTTAGAGGACAACTTGTAGGAGTTCATTATTTCCTTATACCTTGTGGATTGGGGATTAAACTCAGCTTGTCAGATTTGGTGGGAGGTCCCTTTATTCCTGTGCCACCTCACTGGCCCACTGATGTTTTCTTAATTGGTTAGTCTCTGATTGTCGAAGATCAATGATGAAATCTTTTTGTTACCCCTCATCAATTTTTAAATGATTTATTTATGTTTATGTGTACAAGTGTTTTCCCAGCATGTATGTAAGTACTCCCCATGTGTGCAGTGCCTGGTGCGGCAGAGAAGGTGTCAAAATTCCCTGGAACTGGAGTCACAGATGGTTGTGAGCTGCCTTGTGGGTGCTGGGAACCAAATCTGAATTCTTTGGAAGACCAGCAAGTGCTCTTAACCTGTGAGCCGTCTCTCCAGCCCCCTGCAACAGTTTTAATCAGAAAGTTTTGAAGAACAGAAACAATTACTGGTTTTTATACTCTTACCTCCTAGATGACAATAGCTTTGTCATTTTTATTCATATATATAAAACATAAGGCATGAGTACCATTAAAGGACATTTGGTCTGCTTACAATTCTTGCTACATATAGTGCTGCAGTGAATATCCACTTAAGTCTTTGTCCTTTGGATAAACTCCCAGAAAAGGAGATGCTAGATCAGAGAGTTTTTGATATTTATTTTTAAACTTTTTCATAATGATCATAAAGAGGGCCAGCTTACCAATTTTATGAGTTGAATTGATTTTTATGCTCCATTGATACTAGATGTATGTGTTTAAAAAACAAAACAAAAACCATTGCAAAACTGATAGCAATTCACCATTTTCTTTGATTTCTTGTGCTTACTTGTCTTCTGTTAATTGGTCATTTAAAAATTTTCCTATTCATGTCATTTTCCCATTTTTGATACATGATTTTATTTATTTCTTATAGAAACAATATACTCTGTAATGGGCTTAGCCTGAAATCACTTGCTGAGACTGTTTTGAACTTTCCACTCGACAAGTCCCTTCTACTTCGTTGCAGCAACTGGGATGCTGAGAATCTTACTGAAGACCAGGTACTTTTTATCAGAGTAGTTGATTCTAATCTTCAATATGAGTATTGGGTAAAGTAGACTGTTAGGTGATACATTAAGAGACCTATTGCATTTTAGTTTTGAATGTGACGGATACTCCAATGTATCGATGGTTCAGGAGTAGACTTACAGCAGGTAGATTGGGCTAACTAAATGTGTAGACGGAAGTTTCTTTTCCATCCTGACCCACAGCCTTTTGGTCCCAAATAAACACAGAGCTTATATTAATTATAAACTGTTTGGTTGAAGGCTTAGGCTTCCTATTGGCTAGCTCTCTCTTAATTATTAACTCATTTCTATTAATCTGTGTATCTCCACATGGTCTTGGCTTACTGGTGATGCCCAGACCTCTTGCTTCCTCGGCAGCTGCATGGTATCTCTGTGTTCCTCTTCCCAGTATTCTTCTAGTCTGGTGGTTCCACCTACACTTCCTCCTGACTACATCCTGCCTGCCCATTGGACAAAACAGCTTTATTCATCAGCCAATAAGAGAAATACATATTCACAGAACACAGAAGGACCTCCCCCATCAAATATGATCTGAGGGCGAACGAATCAGTTCATACACACATTTCTCTTATGGCTCTTTATTCTTCAAAAGATGTTATTCCCAAAGTTCTCTCTCAAAAAGCTCTCTGTAAGATTTTTCCTCAAAAGTTCTTTCTCTAAAATCTCTCTCTTAAAGTTCTCTTTAGAAATTCTTAAAAATTCTCCTAGAGTTCTTTCTAAAAATTCTCATAGATCTCATAAGGCTTCCAGTTTATATACCCAATACAGATAAAGTGCTGTAAATCTCACCATAAGAAACAGTAAGTAGTTCTCTGTCTTTCTCATCCCACTGTTTCTTTTGCTCTTCCTTCTCAGAGGCCACCACTTTAATTTTTTCTGGTAATTACCTTTATACTTCCAGATTAAATGCATGTGTCATTCTTTCTTATTTGTGCATAGTGTGTTTTGACTTTAGTTAAGGTTTTTATTGCCATGAAGAGACACCATCACCATGACAACTCTTATAAAGGAAAACATTTAATTGGGGTGGCTCACTTACAGTTTCAGAGGTTCAGTTCATTATCATCATGATGGGGAGCATGGCAACATGCAGGCAGACGTGGTGCTGGGGTAGTAGCTGAGAGTCCTACTTCTTGCCAGCAATAGGAAGTTGACTGAAATGCTGGGCGATACCCTAAGCATAGGAAACCTCAAAGCCTGCCCCCACAGTGACATACTTCCTCCAACAAAGCCACACCTCCTAGTAGTGCCACTTCCTGAGAGATTATAGGGGCCAGTTGCATTCAGGCTATCATAGACTTTTTTCCTTGACTTTTCAAGACTCTCTGTGTAGCCTTGGTTGTCCTGGAACTTGCTCTGAAGACTAGACTGGTCTTGAACTCACAGAAATCCACCAGCCTGTGCCTTCTGAGTGCAGGAATTAAAGGCATGCACCACTACCGCCCGGCCATGTTTTGACTTCTTATACAGAAATTATGACCCAGTTCCTGGATCTCAAACAAGAATTTATTCCCTACTCTATCTTCCCAATATAAGTAAATAGTCCATTTCATCAGGAACAATACTTTGTTTTCTTAGGATAGAATATTAATATTTTTATTTCCTTAGTGTTCTCTACACTATTGACTTAACCCCAGCCTGTTTAGGATGTAAATTTTTCATGACATGCTCTAGGCATAGACTTAGTTTTTCCAGTACCATACCAAAAAAAAAAAAAAAAAAAAAGAGAGAGGGAGAGAGACATAAAAAAGGATAAGAAAAGCTGGGTGTGATGGTGAACTCCTTTGATCCCAGCAGAGGCTGGCTGGTCCCTGAGTTCAAGACCAGCCTAGTCTACAGAATGAGTTCTGTGACAACAAGGTCTAACTCATTTAGGGGCTTGTCTGTCTCCTGTCTCTATCAAGATGCTGAGGTAGGAGGCTCACTGCAGTTTGAGGCCAAGTTGGTCTACAAGGAGACCCTGTCTCAGGAAGCAGGGAGAGAGAATGAATATGAGACTCTGAATTATGCTAAGTGAGAAAAGCTAGTCACAGAGATTATATAGTATGTGATTCCATTTCCATGAAACATCCAAAATAGGTTGCTTCAGTAAAGAACAGAGAATTGCTAGAGGATATATGATTTTTTGTGTGTGTGTGAATTGGCCAGTGTCCTGATTGATTCTTATTTATAATTGCTTAGTTCTGTTCGGATGCTAAAATAATTGAACTAGATACCTGAGTGAATTGTATGGCACATGGTTTAGAGCTCAATAAAGCTATCATGTAAAAAAATAGTTTATTGGTAGTGGTATCAAAATGTGTGATTCTTACTATAGTTTTTTTTTTCTGGTATAGAGGATTGAACCCAGCACCTTGTGTGTACCAGGCAGGCAGTCTACTGAGCTATAGCCTCAGCCCTATTTATGATGCTTGATTACATACTGAATCAGGAATCCTAATTTGTAAAAGACTAATGTTATTAGGACCATTGGAGACAGTAGAACTATGTATCTGCTAATGTTCTTGTGTTGCACCAGCATTAAAGTTCTTAAGTGTTATGATTATGCAGGAGAATTCCTTGAGCTGAGGAAATACATGCTCATATATTTAGAGGTGTAGTATCTTTTTTGTTACATTTTTATTTATTGTGTGTGTTCCTGAATGGCACAGTGTGCTTGTGGAAGTCAGAGGACAACTTGAGGGAATCAGTTCTCTCCTACCATGTGGAACCTGGTGATCGAACTTGAGTGGTTAGACTTGGCAGCGAGCACTTTTACCCACTGATCCCTTCTTACTGGCCTATGGTGAAATATCTTCATAAGTGCAATTTAACTTTAATATGCATCTGGTAAAAAAAAAAAGTATGGGATATTTGTGTTGTGAAGAGTTAAAGCCAGTAGTGGTAGTCCGTGCCTTTAATCCCAGAACTCAGGAGACAGAAGTGAATTGATCTTTGTGAGTTTGAGTTCATACTGGTCTACGTAGCATGGTCCAGGATAGTGAGACCCTGTCTCAAAATAGATAAAAAATGAGCATTAAAGCATTTATTGACAGTTATGAATGTCAATTCTCATATTCCCTTGGCCTCTTTAGGGCTTGAAAATGTTCAAGATAAAATTTAGTGGGGCAAAGTTTATTGTTACCAAAGTTGAAGCCCAATTTATGATCCTCATTGCTATGGAAATGGAGACTTTTTAAAGGTGCTGGGATTAAAGATATGTGCCACCAACACCAGACTGAGAGTTAATAATTCTTAATTGGGACCAGCAAGATGGCTCAGTGGATAATAGTTCTTGCCACTAAGCCTGGAAACCTTAATTCAATCCCTAGGATCCACTTGGCAGATGGAGACAATCGACTCTAGAAAGTTGTCCTATGACCTCTACACACACACACACACACACACACACACACACACACACACACACACACACACACACACACACACACACGCTGTGGCACATGTAGCTGTACATACACGTAGATAAACAATGTGACAAAATATTTAAGAATGCTGTTTTTTCTAACTGTAAGCATAGTGATTAAGATTTCAGAGAATAAGGGGCTGGAGAGATGGCTCAGCAGATGAGTACTACTGCTCTTCCAGAGGACCTGAGTTCTATTCCCAGCTCCAAACATAGTGATTCACAATCACCTGTAACTCTATTCCAGGAGATCCAGTGCTCTCTTCTAGCTTCCATGAACAGCAATTACACATACATATATTTGGTTAAATACTCATAAAATAAAAATAAGTAAATAAAACTAGGTGATGGTAGCACGTGCCTTTAATCCTAGCACTTGGGAGGCAGAGGCAGGTGGATCTCTGTGAGTTCGAAGCCAGCCTGGCCTAGAAAACAAGTTCCAGGACAGCCAGGATTATATATAGAAACCCTGTCTTGAAAACAAACAAATGAGATACATATCAACTTGTCTGCGCAACAGGGCTGAGAAACTATCTCTTCCTGCCCCAAAATATTAAAAATTTAAATCACAGGAGCTGGAGAGATAGCTCAGTGGTTGGGGCTGCTCTTCCAGACAAGGTCTTACTAAGTAGACCTGGAAATGTATGTAGACTAGGCTAGTCTCAAACTGACAGATCTGCCTGTCTCTGCTGGGATTAAAGGTATGTGCCACAAAACTTGGCTTTTTTTTTTTCTTTTTAATGGTGGTAACACATGAAAAATGATTTTATTAAGATTAATTTCTATGTAATAAAATTGACCTATTTAAAATATCAGGCATGGTAACACATGTAGAGTGTCTCTAACTCAAGGCCATTCCAACCTATATAGCCAGATTTTGTCTCAAAAAGGATAAAGTTGGGCATCCCACTAATCCTAAGCAGGTTTAGAAGCCCAAGGAGTTTGTCCATCTCTGTTTTTCCAATTCTGGGATTACAGGCAAATGTCACCATACCCAGCGTTTTTACGTGATCTCTGGGGATCAAGCTTATGTCTTTATGCTTGTAAGGCAAACACTTTACCAACTGAACTATCAATGCAACTGCCATAATAGACTTTTTATTTATTTATTTATTTTGGTTTTGTATTAGAGATAGAGCCTCACGCTGTAGCTAATATAGGCCTTAACCTCAAGGCAGTTTCCCAAGTGCTGGGATTAGCAAACTAACAAGATTTTAGACTGCTAAGCAAGTGCTTCCCTGAGTGGAGTTCACGGCATTGTGATTGGCCTGTCTTCCACATCCCGCTGACCTCTGACTTTTCTCTTCAGGTAACTTATGCTGCCAGGGATGCACAGATTTCAGTGGCTCTCTTTCTCCATCTTCTTGGATACCCTTTGTCTAGAAATTCCTGTGAGGAGGAAAACAATGACCAAGTCAACTGGAGGAAAGTCTTGGAGAAATGCAGGGCTATGGTAGACATCCCATTCCGAAGCAAGGGACTTGGCCGATTGTGTGAAGAGCTTAATGGGGAAGCACTGGAGTTTCAACAGAAGCCAAGAAATAGGAAGGCTAAGCCTGATGGAATGATGCCAGGCAGCAACCATGGGAGAGACCCCAGGAAGCATAAAAGAAAGCCCCTGGGGGTGGGCTATTCTGCCAGGTAACTCATTTGTTCCATGCTGATGAAGAGCATTACCCTGAGTCAGGCAGCAGAGACTTTCCAGGGTTAATGAACCTTTCCCTGCTGTTAGTGACATTTGGACTATACTCTTTTATTTGTGTATTTTTCTTTTCCCCTTCTTTTATTTTTCTGTTTGTCAATTGGAATAGAAATGAAGAGAACTTACCCTAGCTTTGTCACTGACTGTATAGGCCTGTAACTTTACCTGTAAAAGAGGTATGGGGCCATAGAGATGACTTGCCAGGTTGAGGCACTTGCTCCCAAACCTAATGACCTGAGTTTAGGCTTCAGGACCCACATGGTAGAAGGAGAGAACTGACTCCCAAAGTTGTCCTCTGACCCCAAATAAGTGGTAATGAAATGTTTGAAGGGGATATAATTTTTATCCCTTGTTTGAGAATGTTATGAACATTTGTGCCTCTCCCCAAAATAAATAAGTGGTAATGAGATATTTGAAGGGGATATAATTTTTATCCCTTGTTTGAGAATGTTATGAACGTGAATAACATGAAGTCCTAATATTTACCAGGATAAATGCTTCAGATTTCTTGTTCATGAGTGTTTCCAGCCCCATGCCAACTTTATTGTGTAGCTAGTGAGACTCTCCTGTGTGACTGACACCTCTTGAGGAGGTTAAGTAGTAAGTGCTTTGGAGTGGAAGTGCGATCTCTGGAGCATGGCACCTCAGGAATGAGATGATTAAATTGAGGGAAGCATTGCCTGTGAACCAGAAATCAACCCACACGGCCCTCATTACTTTATCTTGAACTTTTACAGTTTTCATTTACTGTTTAATTCAGTGATTTGGCAGCTTTTGGTGCTCTGTTCCTGTTTTCATTCACAGCAGAGCTCTGTGAACAACTCCCAAATCACTTCCTGGTGTCTCAGTCCATAAGTATAAAAACTAGAGGCCTTAGGAGTTCATTTGTTGCCCTGTGTCCTAGCCAGTGCCTCCTGAGGATTGACTGTGGTTTCCTGCCTGTTTTTCCATATGTAATATGATTGATTCTGGTGTTGCAAATAGTTTGAATCACTCAGAAGAGAGTATGGGAAGGTCTTGGGTAGCTTGGCCAATAGCTTTCAGTATGAGGTTTCTTTTCCTTGCAGAAAATCGCCTCTTTATGATAACTGCTTTCTCCAAGCCCCTGATGGGCAGCCCCTGTGCACCTGTGACCGGAGGAAAGCTCAGTGGTACCTGGACAAAGGCATTGGAGGTATGAGACTCATTTATCATAATTTATTTATACTTAGGGTCTTGACGTGAGTGGGGTATGGAAGAGAGTGAATAGAGGAAGGCAAAGAGACTCTGAGATGTGTGGGGCTAGGCATTCTCTACTAGCACATAACAATAGTTAAAGATTGCTTCCTGGTGGTGGAGGTGGGAGTAGCCCAGCACTGATGTGTTTTCTTTTTCCTAAGAGCTGGTGAGTAAAGAACCTTTTGTGGTCAGGCTGCAGTTTGAACCTGCAGGAAGACCTGAATCCCCAGGAGATTATTACTTGATGGTTAAAGAGAACCTGTGTGTTGTATGTGGCAAGACAGATACCTACATCCGGTGAGTATTGTGTTAAACTAAGTAACTGCCTCCTGTGGGAATTGCCTGTGTAGTCACCTGCCTTGGTTAAGTTTTCCCACATGGCAGAGTGTCTTAGTTAGAGTTTCTATTGCTGTGAAGAGACATCATGACCATGGTAACTCTTACAGAAGAAAACATTTAATAGGAGTAGCCTACATTTTCAGAGATTTAGTCCATTGTTATCATGGTGCAATATGGTAGTGTGCAGGCAGATATGGTGCTAAAGAAGACGCTGAATGTCCCAAATCTTCTCTTGCAGGCAACAGGAAGTGAATTGTCTCACTGGGTGTAGCTTGAGCATAGGATACCTCAAAGCCCACCCCCACAGTGACATACTTCCTCTAACAAGGCCTTCTCCTACGAGGCCACACCTCCCATTAGTGCCATGCCCTTTAGGAGCCATTTTCTTTCAAACCACCACACAGAGAGACTTCACTCTACAAACATTGCAGTTTTCCTAACAGCTTCATCATTCTGCCTGGCCATCTCTAATGGCCTCTATTCCCCTTAAGGGAGACCTTGAGGCTGTACCCCAGTACCCTCCCTGAAGCTTTCAAGCTTTCTAAGCCTTAGTATTGTTTATAGAGTTCTCCAAGGATGTTCTTTCACATTAGGGTTCCCATTGTGAACATGAGGCTGACCACTGGGCTTGAGTACCTGTGTTTGCGCTTTCTCTGTGGCCCCTGTGCAGTATTTCTCTTCTTTTTCTTCCCTTCCAACTTCCCTCCCTCCTTGCTTCCCCTTTTCCTCTCTTCTTCCCACCATTCCTAGTGTGTTTCGTAATTTTTTTAATCTTAATTTTGGTTGGACATCATTTTGAACCAAAATATTTCTTTTCTTTTTTTTCTGAAACAGAGTTTCTCTATGTAGCCCTGGCTGTCCTGGAACTCCCTCTATAGACCAGGCTGGCATTGAACCCAGAGATCTACCTGCCTCTGTCTCCTGAGTGCCACCACCACCTGGCTGAGACAGAATATTTTTATATAGCCTTAAATGTGGTTATCCTCCTGACTTAGCCTTCCAAGGGCTGGAATTACAGACTTGTGCCACATTGCTTCTCTTTAGTAATTCACTTCCAAATTAATTAAAGTGGGACAACTGTTGCCACTGGGAATTTTCCTTGAGAACTTAGTTGTACGTAGACAATGATGGCAGACCTTGGTGAGCTGAGAAATAGTGTCCGGGTGAGGGAGTCCTCAGATAAAGGAAGTTGGTTTGCTCAGCCCACCAGACTTTTTAAGAGTTATTGTGAGATGTCAAAAGCCATTATAATATCATTTCATTTCTCTTAGACTCTCCTTTCTAGGAACACAGTGGTTGTTACTAGTCTCTGCCATTGAAGCCTGACAGCAGGGAGTCTGTACTTACTTCAAGGAGAGATAAGCATAGGTAGATAAGGCAGGCAGGTGGGCCTGAGAGTGACATAGGTAGTATTGCCTTCATGTAACCTCTATTGAGTTGTGCTGCCCAAGCCTTCCCAGTCACATTTAGGCCCAGGTTAGACTCCGAGTAGTTCATCTGCTGACTCCATATGTGGTCTGTGTCATAAGCTAATGAGCACTACTCTTGGGGTGGGCTCGTTCCAGGAAAAATATCATTCCACATGAGTATCGCAAGCATTTCCCCATTGAGATGAAGGACCACAACTCCCATGATGTACTGTTGCTCTGCACCTCCTGCCATGCCATCTCCAATTACTATGACAACCATCTGAAGCAACAGCTGGCCAAGGAGTTCCAGGCTCCCATTGGCTCAGAGGAGGGCTTACGCCTGCTGGAAGATCTAGAGCGTAGGCAAGTGCGTTCTGGAGCCAGAGCCCTGCTCAATGCAGAAAGCCTGCCAGCCCATCGGAAAGAAGAGCTGCTGCATGCACTCAGGGAGTTTTATAACACAGATACTGTTACAGAGGAGATGCTCCAAGAGGCTGCCAGCCTGGAGACCAGGTATGACTTACTGTTGTTCAGAGAAAGGATGGGGAATGACCCAGTGACAGCAGCCCCCAGTGCTTCATGAAAATGCTTGTTACAACCCCCAGTGCTTGGCCACATGCTTATTAATCTAGTATCTATTTGTTTAAGATACCATGGGACAGAACCAAGCAGCTTGAGAATTTCTATTTCATAGGAGATGGTGAGATGGCTCAGCAGGTTAAGGTGCTTGCTGCCAAACCTGACAACTTTACTTGGATCCCGAGGACTGACATGGTGGATTGAGGGAACCAGTTCCCAAAGTTGTTCTCTAACCTCTACACATGTTTCATGGCATGCTTGCACGTGTGTACTTCCACATGTATATACATACAGACAACACACTCACCTAAATGTGATTTTTTTTTTAAAAGAGAGATTTGCCAATTGTGAGGTATCTGTTGTTGACTCTATAAGGTCAAATGTAGTTGGTCTCATGCATCCTTCTGGAGAGGTTAATCCTAAAGTGAGCACATAAGATGAAAACAATAATCAGTTAATACCCTGAAATCTCTGAATTGCCATGAAGTAAATAAATTATATGTAGTTTTGTGTCTTCATACCTAGATTTTTGAGAATTTTGACCAGTGCATTCATTCATATTTCTTGTCTGAAGCTACTGGATAGAATTTTGAGCAAACCACTGTCCTATTTAATCTTTTTTCTTCTTTCCTTTCTCTTTTCCCCTTCTTCCACATGAGTACATAGTTGAATTAATATGACATAACTCAATGTTTCTAAACAAGAAGTTTATGATCCTGAGGCATGAACGTGTACATGGCTCCAACAATAAGCATTGTAGGTTACTATGCAGCTGTCAGTTTTTTACAGGATTAGAGATCCATAAAAGTCTGATAATGTGGCTGATAATAAAGGAGTAAAAACTATATTTATATCAACAAACATTTATTTCTTTATTCAAAAGTTTGTTTTACTCATACTACTGATCTACCACAGCCTAGAGATACTGCAAATATTTCCTAAACAGATACTTAAAGACACCCTGAAGTACCAAACTCATAAATTGTATTTCTAATAGCAACTTAATGACTTTTTACTTTTACCTTACATAGTTTTTAATTGTTTAAAGTTTTCCCCCCTCAGAACAGGGTTTCTCTGTGTAGATCTGGCTGTCTTGGTATCCTGGAACTCACTCTGGTCTCGAACTCACAGAGGTCCTCCTGTCTTTGCCTCCCAAGACTTGGGATTAAAGGCGTGCACTGCCATGGCTGACTAGCCATATACCTTTCTATAAGCAGGTCCCTGAGTTAGGTGATAGATTGAGACTGTGTCAGGATGTTTGGAAACATTGTAAATTTATGGGACTAGGCATGGTGACACTCCCAGAGGCAGAGGCAGGTCGATCTGTGTGAGTTCAGTGCCAGCCTGGTTTACATACTGAGGTCTAGGACAGCCAGGACTACATAGAGATGCCCCGTCTCAGAAAGCAAACAAGAAAAAAAATGGGAAGCTAATGAGGCAAATAATAAAACACCTGCAAATATTGGGAGAGCCCAAAGTTGCTAAACTGGCGGGAGCGTGGCAGGAGGACTGGATTAGATACTGAGAGGAAAGAAGCGGGGAGCAAGGTGCTTTTGAGAACGGTGGTTTTTCCCTTGAAGGAGGTAGAGGGAAGCTCAGCTCACATAGTAAGAGCAGTTTTTATGGTTTCCTGTCTAGCTGGGGACTAGGCAGGGGTTCATCTTCTACAGTACACTGTCTGCACAGCTGAGCAGCCATGGGAACATCTCACTATGACTAAAACACTCCCTGCCAATGTGGTCTGACTCTGTGTGTGTGTGTGTGTGTGTGTGTGTGTGTGTGTGTGTGTGTGTGTGTGTGTGTGTAGGCACTAAAGAAATGGACTGCCTTGAATTTGTGTGTGTGTGTGTGTGTGTGTGTGAAGAAGGCACTAAAGAAATGGACTGCCTTGAATTTGTGTGTGTGTGTGTGTGTGTGTGTGTGTGAAGAAGGCACTAAAGAAATGGACTGCCTTGAATTTGTGTGTGTGTGTGTGTGTGTGTGTGTGTGTGTGTGTGTGTGTGTGTGTGAAGAAGGCACTAAAGAAATGGACTGCCTTGAGTTTTGCACCCAGGTTTGGCAGTGTTCTGAGAAGCCAGGCTATGTGGGCTGATTTAACAGCCTTATTTTAATACTGATTATGGTTTAGAATAAATAATTAATGGCTTACAGAGAAGTAAGCTATTCCTGAGTAGCCTTGGTTCAACAAATACAAGATCAGTATTCCTTACCCATCACCACGGTTCCCTATAGGACTGATTGTATGTATAACTCAAAACCCTAAATGCCTTCAGTGTGAGCCTTATATGCTAAGTATTAAGAGGTGAGAAAAAAAGATATTTTGTAAACATTAAAACAGTGTGAATTTTGTGGTCTCTCTCTTATCTGCCTGTGGGACTGCCAGTGCTTATTTAGCTCAGATCATCTGCACCTTCATGTTTTGGCAGAATATACAATGAAAGCTATATTCCTCATGGGCTGAAGGTGGTACAGCGTCACACCGAGGGTGGGCTGCGCTCCCTCATGCAACTGGAGAGTCGCTGGCGTCAGCACTTCCTGGACTCCATGCAGCCTAAGCACCTGCCCCAGCAGTGGTCAGTGGACCATAACCATCAGAAGCTGCTCCGAAAGTACGGGGATGACCTTCCCATCAAGCTGTCATGATCGCTGCTTCCTGCTGTTTAATGTCATTGGTGGAAGCCCAGATGACTGGCTCATAGTGCTAAGCTACACTAACTCCAGGTACTGCTGATGGAGCAAGGCTGTTGTTTTAAGGGGAGCCTGTGGTTTGGAATTTTAACTGAGGAGTCTATTCTTTCTCCTCCTTTATCCCCTGTTTTTGTGTGCAAGGGAAGCTTGGCCTTTATTTCCACTCCCCCTCCCTGGAGTAACTTTGTCAGACTCTGAGAGACGTTTGTAATTCTCCTCTCCACTGCATTGCTTTCTCTGGGGCAGGGAGAAAACTTTCTTCTGGAGTTGAAGAAGTGCTCCAGAGTCAGATTCGTATTCCTAATTTTAATCTTTCTTGCTTTTCCATATTTGTTTATTAGGGTCTATCCCAACTGTATTACTTGGATTTATTTGACATGCTTGAAAACGTTCTCACTTTTGCATATAGGACCAAAGCCCAGCTTACTGCCATGTGCTTCTTCCTTATCACAGGGGAGTCCTTTTCTGGAAATGAATTTTCAGCTGGGTGGGACCCAAGTATACACCCTTTCCTAGGAGAGCTTTGATTCGTTGTTCTCTCCTCTGGATATCTACTTGGCGCCTATCTCCTGTCCTGCTTCTGAGGGTTATCATTTCTCAGAGTCAGTGCCCTCTCCCATCAGTGTTCACGGTCCATTGCATTTGCAATACTGACCTCTCCTTAGCATTTAATTCGCTCCCAGAGCCTTTGACCAGGTGAGGATGTCACCTCCCTTGGAGCCTGGGAAGCTGAGATTAACTGATACATTAGAAGTTTAAAAGGGTAATGTTTCATCTTTCAAAATGTTAGACTACTACTTTGAGTATGAAATCAATTTATTAGCAATTAGTATTTTTTCTAAACTATTAGGGAAACTTTCTTATTTTATAAGCTCTTAACAAGCTTGAACAGAATTTTATGGCCAGAATCCAACAAGAGTTCTATTTTGGAATTGTACCCAAGTTGGTTATAACCTATCTGACATTGATAAATAAAACAACTTCAAAGCACAAGGCTCAGTGACTGTAAATGTGAAACTTTTCTTACTGACGTTATAGAATCAGTAGGTATTCTTGGGGGAGTTGCTATTTATTCTTCAGAGTCCCTGCCTCATGGCAGTAGTGTGATCCTTACACATGGATATACTACCCACACTGCACCGCAAGCTCTTGGGCTAGGTTTGCAGTCCACAAATGCATGTGTGCTGCACTCTGTCCCTCCGCCCTACCTTCCCACTTCTCCCCTCACAGGCATATCTAGGATCAAGACTAGACATTCTTAAAAACAACTAGTACCAGCTCTTCTGGGGAATCTGTGTAATGTAGAATATCATCACCAATCCTGTACCTCCTGGCTATGGGAACTCAGACTTGAAAAAGCCCAGGGATGAATGAATGGGAGGATAGCTTGCTTCTTGGCCATGGTAGTTGCCAGGCTCCCCACAAGATGGCACTAGTGTATAGATTTGTTTTTATACATGGTCACTGAATATAACTTGTGACCTGTGTTTCCAAATATTCGTAGTGAATTCTCAGTCACTTCTATAGCTTTATAAGAGCAGGCTCTCCAGTGGCGTCCCTGGTGAGGTCCAGTGCGAGAGTGACCCCAGCACATAGTGAACAAAACCAGTCTGTGCCATACAAGTCCTTTCCCCTTTCCTAAACAGTGTTGCCTTCTGGGTTGGAATTTGCATTCTAAGGCTGCTGAGAAATTGTGAGCCTTTTCATAAGAGTGAACGTTGTCATCTTTTTGTTGTTGTTGTCGGGCCGATCCCGTGTCCTATTCCCCCACACACACATCAAGACAGGATTTTTCTGTGTAGCGTTGGCTGTCCTGGAACTCACTCTTAAGACCAGGCTGGCCTCAAACTCACAGAGATACGCCTGCCTCTGTCATCTGCATTCAGGGAGCCACCACCACCCAGCAAAAGTTGCCATCTTAAATGAGAAAATTCAGGGTAAATCTGTTTTTCTGATATAAAGTACATGAAGCCCAGTGTGGGTGGCTCCTTTTTGTAGTTTCTGTGTGCAGGAGGAAGAAGCTGAAGGATGTTGAATTCAAAGCTAGCCTGGACTACACGGTAAGTACATGCTCATTAGAGAATGACTAACAATGATCTGTCTTCCTTCTGTCTGGAGCAGAGCTAAGCTTTGATGATATGGTTAAGAATTTTCAGTCAACCAGGTGTGGTGGCACACACCTTTGACCCCAGCACTGGGAGACAGAGGCAGGTAGAGCTCTGAGTTTAAGGCCAGCCTGAGTTTAAGGCCAGCCTCATCTATAGAATGAGTTCCAAGACAACCATAACTATAGAAAGAGACTGTGTCTCAAAAGAAAGAAATTTTCATTCTTTTAAAATATGTATATAACTGGAAGATGGTGCCTCATGCTTTTAATCCCAGAATTTTGGAGGCAGAGGCAAGTGGATCTCTGTGAGTTGGAGGCCAGCCTGGTCTACAGAACGAGTTCCAGGACAGCCTCCAAACAATACAGAGAAACCCTGTCTTGAAAAAAACTAAAAAAAAAAAGTTGTATTGTATGTGTGTATGCATCCTAATTTTTTCTCCATTCATTGACATGGCATCACAAGTATTTATCTTTGAAAATAAAAGCTCTACCCAAGTGTGTGGTTCATGCTTGTAATCCCAGCCCTTGGGAAATGGAGGCAGGAAGATCAGAAGCTTAGGGTTATCTTCAGCTACATAGTGAGCTTAAGGCCAACCTGAGCTACATGAGCCCTTGTCTCAGAACAGAACAGAATAACAGAAAACCAATGAAAATCGATATTAATGCATTTCTGGTGGCTCTCCTTCCTTCAGTCATATAGCCCCATGCTGTTGTTTCAAATCCTGCACTACCAGTTTGTGGAGATGAACTTTCTTGTGTATGCCTTACCTTACTCTGTTCTTGGTAATTTCTTTAGGATACAACCCTAGAAACTGGATCGGGGGTGACACTGTTGCAGTGAGTACTAATTAACATGAGCTTAGGAATAGAGAGCACATTAAGGGAACTCATCTTTTTGACCCCTTAAACTCCAAGTGTTCTGAACACCATTTGAGCATCTGTGAGTTGGGATGGTCCCTTCAAGCCCTGGCTATTGTGTTGGTAGCTTTGGGCTTCTTCTCTGCTTCCCCTTCCTTCCTTCCTTCCTTCCTTCCTTCCTTCCTTCCTTCCTTCCTTCCTTCCTCCCCTCCTCCCTTCCTTCCTTCCCTCTCTTCCTTCCTTCCTTTTTTGGTTTTTGGAGACAGGGTTTCTCTGTGTAACAGCCCTGGTTGTCCTAGAACTCGATTTATAGGAGCTCCGCCTGCCTCTGCCTCCTGAGTGCTGGGATTAAAGGTGTGCACCACCACTGCCAGCTGTTTCTCTGCTTCCTTTTGTCTACCATTCTCCATTGCCATGTTCCCTTCTCTACCTCTGTTGCCAGTGGTTTTTAGAAGTAGTTTATTTAAACATTTTTAAATATAATTTTTTCAATTAAAAACATTTTTTATTTTAAAATAAGGTTATGGTTAGATTGTTTTTGAAAACAGATCTGTGTTTAATAACTCGTCATTCTAAAGTGAATGAAGCATATTTTGAGGGATTTGCTGCCACTTAAGAGTGCAGCCGTACGTTACTTATTCTTACCCATGTCACCAGTAATCAGACGACAAATGTGTTTTGTTGAAAGCCGTCTTAATACCCTGTTCTCGGTTCTTTAAGAATCAGCAGGCAGAGAGCTTCCTAATTTGGCCTCTTTAATGGTTGGATTTTTGTTTGTTTTTTGAGACAGGGTTTCTCTGTGTAGCTTTGGAGCCTATCCTAGCACTTGCTCTGTAGACCAGGCTGGCCTCGAGCTCACAGAGATCCGCCTGTGCCTTCCAAGTGCTGGAATTAAAGGCATGTGCCACCACCGCCCAGCTTAATGGTTGGATTCTTGATTTACCTTGCCTCTGGGTTTTTTATTCATTCATTTATCTTTATTTTTCATCATTAGGTCTCATTTTTAGGTATCATTAAAAATATATTTTACATTTTTTGTGTATGGAGTGTTTGTATGTGTACGGGTTCATGTGTAGAGGTCAAAGGACAACTTCAGGACTAGGTTCTCTCCTTCTACCATGTGAGTTCCTGGAATCAAGCTCTGGTCAACAGGCTTGGTGGTAAGTGCCTTTACCCACTGAGCCTTCTCATGGCTTGTCAAGGGAGGGAGCACCCCCCCCAAGTGGGAGTGGGCAAGTGCAGCTGGGGAGACATTTCTTCCCTAAAGATTTGTTGGTTTACTAATTTTTTTTTTTTTGGTTTTTTACGAGAGAGGATCTCTCTGTATTGTTTTGGAGGCTGTCAGTCCAGCCTGGCCTCAAACTCACAGAGATCCGCCTGCCTCTGCCTCCCGAGTGCTGGGATTAAAGGCGTGCACCACCACCACCCGGCGGTTTACTAATTATGTTACTATTTGTGATATGTTACTCTTTGTAATGTATTTGAAATGCATACTGCCCCACCCCTGGTTTTCAAAAAATATACAATGGTCATTTTTAGACCTTTTAAAAAAACCTCAAGATCAGTTTTTCTTAGGAGAAATGGACAAGAAAGAGGGTGATCCTTGTTATGATTAACACAACATGAATGATATAAAATAATATAATAAATAATAATATAAAAACATAAGTTTTTATTTTGGAATCCAGCTTACTCTTCTGCCATTTGCCAAGTTCCCCTGTGCTGGACTTTGTACCCTCCCCAATCCCAGAGCACAGTGCATGCTGGCATACAACAGAGACCCACAGAGTCTTTCCAGCCTCCTGTAAGGAGGTGCACCAGTGACTCACTCTGAGACCAGGGTGTCACTTGAGATGGTGTTGGATACACTGACCATATTTCCTTGTTCACTTTGTCTGTGGCCATTTCTGATTGGTGACCCCTCAAACGTTATGGGTAATGGACCAAGTGGGTCATTGTTTTGGAGATAATTAAGAGCTGACTTCCTTGGACCAGGGAATAACCTAGTCTATGCTTACTTGGTTTGCCCTCTTAATGTATATGTTGCCATTAAGGGCCAATCTGTGTATTGATGGGTGGTAGCTAATCTCATGTCCTCCAGATTAACCTAGAACATTTGCCCACCTTCCCATCTTCTTGTTATTAATCCTGGAATTTCTCTCCCTTACTGAGAAGGTAGCTTGCTGCCTTCCTGTTAGTGTCACCCTTGCTTTGGGCCCACAGTGAAGCAGAACATCATGGCAGAGAGAGCATGGTGAGAATACCTGCTTTCCTGTGATATTGTATTGTTTATGATCCCATAAAGCCACTGAAGATCAGAAAAACAAAGCAGCCAAGCCAGTAGCTCTTACTCCTACCATGCTGAAATGGCAATCCTGTCTCCACGAATCCTTAGAGTCAATGCTCTCCATGAATCTCAGAGGCAAATGCTCTCCATGAATCCTCAGACTATGATGCTTCCCTGTCTGAAAACTAAATTTCACAGGAGACCCTTTGCTTCTTCCTTTTATACTTCCCTAGTGCTGGGATTAAAGGTGTGAACTCTGTTGTTGTTTTTGACTGATTGACCCTCGTGTAGCCGTGGGTGGCCGTGAGCTCATAGTGATCCATCTTCTGTCTCCCGAGTCCTGGATTAAAGGTGTGTACCACCACTGTCTGGCTTCTATGGCTACCTAGTATGGCTGCTGAGATTAAAGGTATGCATCACTACTGCCTGGCTGTATGGCTGTGTAGAGTCAGCATTATTACAAGCTGAGTCAGGATGTTTTTGAATTGGAGTGACTTCTTACGTTTTGCTTCTCAAAGATCTACTGTCTTAGACTACAACATGCTGGGGCACAGTTGGCATTCTGACTCCTCATGTCACCAGGGTATCCATTAAGTCCTGGATAAGAATCAGAAATCAGAGATAGAGATATAGCTCCCTGGAAGAGTGCTTGCTAGCATGCAACCAGGCCCCGTGTTCATTCCCCACTATAGGAAAAACAAACAAACAAACAACAAAAACAACAAACCAACCCAAACTTCA